TTTTTAATCTACATCTTTGCATTGATATCTTTTAAATGGCGTCATTGCTGAAACTGCTAGAATAACAAAAAGAAGATCAGCGTTTATGAGCACTTTGGAGTCGGATCGATCTCAGTAATTTCTCCCCTATTCGGATACCTTCCGACAATTTGATCCAAAATCGCTGACTGCGGCAGTAAAATAATTTGAAAAAATATAAGACGGCACTTTTCCGTTTGCGGCTTAATTAGCATAACTCAGTTGCGTAATTGGATCTTAAAAGTCTTTCTCGGTGATTTAATATAATGTCTACATCTGATAGCAGTAGATTTTGTGTCCATTTAAAAAACGTTAAGAGACAAGTCCTAATCAGACAATAAGACGCATATAACAATTGAATGAAAAGCGCTTAGACTTCAACAACCGTGGAGCTGATATTGAAATAATTCAATTTCGCGATAGAAAGACTAACGCAGCTATTATGTTAAGCCGGTCCCGTAATGTTGGTCGTGATCATATCTCGCTGCCACCGTTGGCTACTGACGGACGGTCCGCCTACCGATCTGCGCCGAACAGGAAATTGAATGGAGTCGTCGACGTAAATTTTATTTGATGAATATGTTTTGTTGTATTTTGTGAATGTTGAGCGAAATTCGAGCATAGTCATGTGAACATTGCAGTTTTTGGGGTAATGGAGTTGGCATAAAACAAAATATACCGATGGAATACTTATTAGAATACAATATTTTAATCACATTGTAGAAGAGACAAAAGTATTATGAAATATTTTCTATCATACTTTTATTACAAAACTGAGTAAAAGAGTTAAATAATTTAAAACACGGATCTAGTATTACAGCCAATAATAAAGTATAATAGGGACACGATCCTAACCTAGAAAAAGATCGCGGAGACAACAAGTATATAACATCTAATCCTCGGAGAATAGCTTTAACAATCCAGTGCTCCACAGCAATTGGTAGCATCTACAGAGTACCTTGCCCGCAAGCTGGCCAATCAATATAGTGGCTGCAATTATGTTAATGCACCGCCCTAGGCCGCGAGCCCAGACGCAATTGAAAATGTAAACGACCGCTGCACACCTCTACCGGCCCATGATAGCCTGGTACTCCGCTCTGATGTAGCCGTTCAGTTTTAGATGGTCATAAACAAACTGGGGGGCGTGGGAGAAAATGATCATTGCCTTTCAATTTATTCCCAGTTTTCGTACTGAAATTTATCTGAGGCCAGATAATGGAGGTGCAATTGGGTAGTATACCCTCTAATTTATGATTTCATTTACCAGAATATGTTGTGAAGGTCGATTTCATTTCGATTTTTCTAAGTAATTGAAAGGTCAAGCTCTCATAAGTGCCAGAAAAATAAATCTCTACTATACCTACAGCATTTTGTTTGCGCTCTGCTAAATTATTTTAATTAAAATGTAAATCTTGGTTTCACACGAGGAAGTAAGGTTTGCAACAATGAAAATGTTTCCCGGTAAAATTATGAAAATGGTACGAAATTTTACGTCACTATCAAGTGTGTGTGCTAATTCTACTTCAGGGTAACCGTTTTGCACAATGTTTCTGCGGAACACTAGAACGTCGACTATTTATAACGACAATGTTGTATTGACTTTATCGACGGTCGTTGCCTGCAGCCATTGCTTACAAGAACTAATCATAAAGTGGCGCTATAAATTCACTCGATATGTTTACCACCTTTATATTTTTACCTTAGACTTTTTGCAGCATTCCTTATTTGTTCTGTTCTTTAGCTTGACTTTTATAGTATTACGAGGTACAAGTGTTTTCAACTGAACCAATTAGGCAACAAAAACAAATCATTAAGTCGAAAGAATTTTTTTTATCACTCTTATTCACCCAGCCAGCGTCATAAGTCATAATAGAGAAAAAGTCACATACCAAGCGCAAATTAACTCCATTTTTAATATTGGAAAGGTTTACTAACAAATAATTAATTAAGCTGTCACCTCCTAAACTAATACCTAAAGGTATTAACGTAGAAAAAAAATGTAATTACAGCATAAAATTAAAGGCCGTTCAGCGCCTGGACGTGGCGTTGCTTGTCCGGCGGAATAGTAATTAAAAGAGTCGAGATTTTTTTTGCTAGTGTGTCAGGAACGTCTGTGAAGTCCCCCCTTCTATTTGAGACTGGTTTGACTAGAATTGCGTGAAGAAAACCGTTTTTCGGTAGGAAATTCATTAATTAAATCCTTATTTATTTGGTTTTTAATGTTTGTTTGTGACTGTGTACAGTACTTTGATGTACTGTTTCATGTTTTGTTTTGTGATAAGTCATTATTTTTCAACTTCCAAAAATTACAAAGTGGTAGAGAAGAAGTATGAATTTGCTCTAAGTTGCTGTCTGTTCACATGGTTTATTGTGATATCGAACAGAATACAATAAATTATTTATTATGTTAAGCCGAGGCCGCCGAGTTCCTCGTCAAATAGTTACTCAAGGAACTATTTGACGAGGAACTCGGCTAGTTTCAACATTGGGGATAATTATACATACACATTACATCAACAGCCTTTAAATGCCCACTGCTGAGCAAAGCCTCCTCTCACACGGAGTAGGTTTGAGCATTAAACACCACGCTTGCTCAATGCGGGTTGGCGATTTCAAACTTATAATCAGAAATATAAGCCCAGGTTTCCTTACAATGTTTTCCTTCACCGTTTGTCAGTGGTGTCTGAATAATCTTAGAAAGTACATACAACTGGGAAACAGTCACATTGGTACTTGCCGTGATAGGTTTCGAACCCGTGCCCTCGTGCATAGGAAACGGGCGTCTTAACCTAGAGGCTAATGTTTGAGCAAAAACAGATAAAAAATCTATAATTCCAAACAAGTCCATCAAAGAATGATTAAAAAAAAAATCGCATTTCACTTGCACAACAATAGTACCAGTGGGTATTTTATAATTAATGCATCGTACCAAATTGTCTCGGTAACGTATAAATCACGGGATTATTTCCCATGGGCGCCGTAAGGTAATTAAGGGATTAGATGTATCAAAAGGTAGGGATGCAACCAACACACATTGCGTTAACGGCTTTGAGTTTCAAACGTGGTTAAGTCTACTTGTATCACTTCCTTAGACTAAATGAGTATGTAGCTATTAATATGTTTTAAGAAATACTATTTAGAGTTATCTTGAAAAACACACTCATCAAAATATCTAAAAGAGATCTCATAATAATTTATTTATTCTGCTAATCACATAATTGGGTAACCCCTAATGATATATGATTTGCCACTGACAAGCGGTGAAGGAAAACATCGTGAAGAAAACTAGGCTTATAATTTCTAATTATAAATTAGAAATCGCAAACCCGCATTGAGCAAGCGTGGTGATTAATGCTCAAACCTTCTCCATGTAGGAAGAGGCCATGTTTGGTCAGCAGTGGCTACTTATAGACTGTTAATGTGTGACGTAATATAATTTAAAGTACCGTACCACTTTATCTTACTGTTGACACAATATTAAAACGTAAATCAAACTATACAGACACGACTAAAACTAACAAACTTTTCAAATAAAATAATGTGGAACTGCGAATTAATATCTAGGACTAAATAAACGTTCTTGGACCAGTACGATGTTAAAATAACATTCCTTTAAGCCGGGCTTATCACTGTCATTACTATACTGCAAGTCAATAACTAAAAGTTGAACTAATTAACGAGGGGAATGTGTATCCAGCCATATTTATATTTATTTAGTATGTTTAGATGTTCATTAAGAACTTTTAGTACCAGATAAGTCAGTCTGTTTATCTAATCAGTTAAACTTCTCCGTCTGCTAAAATGTTTATCTTAGGCTTCGAAAAAGAAGTTAGTGCTAGTTTTATTTTGTTGATTTTCCTTACTTAAAGTTAGTAATTAACAGGGTATTCTGGTTTCTGTATTAAGGATGTATGTTTTTGGTTACGCTATGTTTTTTGGTAGATTTATGTATAATGGCGCGAAATTGCCGATTGAAATTACACCTGAGGGTATTCATATTTCGCATACAGAACAAATGGGTCAACATGAAACAAGAATTTACTTTTCACATTTTCACGTTATAATTTCGAAATAAAATCTTCATATGAATAACCCGGCCTATAATATCGGGAATTTATTGAAATAATTGACCCAGTAAACTCACTTTTCCAGATTCATATCGATAAAACATTATAGAAAATGAGTTCCGTAACAAAACCCGATTTATAACCGAACAATACCGAACGAGTGCGCCGAAATTATCTCGTTTTCAACACAATGGCGTTATGTCGAATCAACAATTGACAATGTCACATGCAACGAATTATGTATAGGTACGTAGCTATAGCTAACAAAGGGGGGATTTTGTTCAAATAAGCGCATTGATCGAACATTCTCACGTAAGATCAAATCTATGTATTTTAATCAGCACACGAGTCCTCGAGAGGCAATTTTGAAAACGCGCACGTTTACGTTAAGCTAACCTCGGATTTTTGATGACATCGACCCGTTTACCCGCTACGTTTGCTTGGCAGAACGTGTGTAGGATTACTTCTCATTTTCTAGTGGTTCGTATGTTTCAATATTTACGACCGTCCGTTACGTTTACTTCTGACATTTAAAGTTTTAGGTCACTTGTGAGTAATCGATTTTGGAACTTAATAGTTTGGGATTAAAGATAACATTACCTTTATACAACCTTATCTTAACTTCATTTAACCTTTATTGAAGTTTTCAATTGACCACTGTCTCAAATTTATTTACCTCGTTCTGAACCTTTTATAATAAAATCAAAGCAAAGTTTACGCTTTGTGAGTAATAGATAACATTGCAATATAGTCAGAATATGTTATTGAATTGAAATTGACAAATTCGACAAAACTCGATGACATTCCACTAACAGTACACATCAGATTGTACATCAATAAAAATTAAATTGTAATAATTTGAGCCTATTTATTACCTGTATCGATGTTCTCATTAACGAAGCATAATTATGTCAATTACGTACCTGAAACAAAAGAATTATAATATTAATAAAAATATGTAAATGGTTATTGTTGTGTGCATGATGCCTGACAAAAATGTTCAACATGAAAAGGTATATTGTATGTTGTGTCTCATGTTGTTGAACACATTTCACAGTAGTAGCACGGAGTCTTGAAATGTATATGGCAATAGGCTCACCCCCTATTACATGGGATTCATAACATAAATAGTGAAAAGTGGGTGTTACATTGTACAGTGGTATAATGTACACCTCTGCCTACCCCTTCGGGGATAAAAGGCGTGATGTTATGTTATGTCTTCAAGCAATCTGTAGTCAAACCTGAGACCGAATGGTGGTTCCAAAAGTCATGAAGGTAAGTATAAAAACAAATTGATGACACCAAGAACAAGCGCTCTCAGATAAGTTTGAACTTTTTAAACTGGGATTTCTAATCCGCCTGCGAAGCATGGATATAATGACAAACTCTTTTATACAAGGTGTTGTTTTAAAGCCGCGTTATTTTCTAGGACTCGGGCATCGATTCTGAGTCAGAAACAATAAAAAAAATGTAGGTAATTATTTTTCTGTAAATTACGTAAATCCGTAAGTACGAACTACACGCCGCCGTCGCCGCGCGTTGTAACTAGCTTTAGAACGCGGCTTAACACACACAAACTCAAACACGTTATTGATATTATTCCTAATTCCATAAAACTCCAATAAGAAACATTGCTGTCGCTTATTCTGAAATACTGTCAAATTTAAATATCACGGTTTAAAAACTACACCTTGTATCAGAGAATGCTCCAAGTCCAACAGTGTGGAGATCGTACATAATATTCGGTAAAGACCAGGAGAAAGACGGGAATGGGCGATAAAAGTAAATCGAATACAAAATCTTTCTGTATTTAGAAACAATGATCGGAATTGTAATGCTAAAATGGCTACCGCAGGCTAGGTTAAAAGCCGCCATATCTAATTGTGTTTAGATAGATTTTAGGTCAGATTAGTTGCGGTCGCATTGTACGCAATACTGCCAGGGTATGTTAAACAGAGCAACTATGAATACGCCACTTACTGTATTAAAACAATATGTGAGGGTTTATATTGATGAATAAATAAATAATTGGTACTTGAAGTTTATTACATACCTACGAGATTTTGAACGATATTAACTACATTTTTCAGAATGATAAAGTTATAAAGTCTGCTTCTACTCCTTCTTTATATAAATATATTGAGTAAAACCGAACAGCGTAGTGCGCACGCAGCGCTGATTGATTTTTTAGTGAACAATGACGTATGAAGTATAAAGAACTGAGGATCAATGTTAAGAACAAACATTAACATTAAAGAGACTGACGCTCGGATACTGAAACGCTACTGAATTTTAAGTCGCGCTTAACTATAGTTCTGGCACCACCAATTTTTTTTGTAAAATCACGTTAAGTACAACTTAAAATTGAGTAGCTATTCAGTATTATGGCGTAAGAGGATTACCAACTACCTATTAAGTTAAAGTTTGATTTTATTTTTAATTTCTGTACTTAAGTAAAATGTTCAAGATAACATTTGGCGAAAAGTTGATATTATTATGCATTTCCTTAGATGGTTACTCCATCTCGTTTGCAAGACAACACTTTGCAAGTAAATCGTGAATTCTATTTCTAAACCACACAATAACCAACAATACAAAATGTTCAACAATAACAAGTTTCGTACCAACAAAACAGTACGATAATCTGTCTAAACGATAACACCGGACCAAGTTAATCAAAATTGTAAAATGTGTATATCAGAAGTTGCGGCTAATGTAACTAGGGCAGAGTGGGGGCCCGTGAATAAATGAGAAGTCCGCAGCAATCCAGTTAGCTCTGCAAACACGGGTTGGGAACAAGCAACATTGCCTTGGGACACTGAGCGACGCGCGATTTGTATGTCTAATAACTTTAGACCAAAAATCGCTTGTGACGACGAATAATCGAATTATGTCCAGTGCACACTTCCTATACACATTCCTATACATATGAGTCTTTCTAAAAGTATAGTGAAAATTCTTCTAACATTTAAAAAGCCGGTGACACTGTTCCAACCATATCACGTAAAGGTTTACGAAGAAGGATACTAAGCCCTATAGTTTGTAAAGTGCTAAAACATTACGAATTTCGTCACTAAGGGTCACTGAGGTATAAACATAAACTTAGGACCACAAACTTGTGAATATGTTTCAACATAAAAAAGTAACACACTTTGCCAAACTGCTATTTAATGATACACCTCTTGCAAAAACATCTGCTCTTAAGGGTTGCCGGGAAATATTCAAGGATCGCTTAACAGAGTACGAGGAACGTGTAGGTCTATCGACAGCTCATTACCATTCATAAACAAACATTAAAATACACCGCGGATATTTCTAAACGCTTGAATAAAACATTCTACAAGACACAATCCCGCAACGAAAATTACACCGACTACTGCCTTTCCGAGGCGATTACAAACAGCTATAAAAACAAAAACATGACCCCTCGGCTCATACACTGGGGCAAAGTAAACTCTACATCGCAAATAATAGGGTTCAATTTTTAATGGAAACTTATGTTAATAGCCCGTCCACAGGTGATCCAAGCATCTGCTCGGTTATTTTGTGAAAATATAAAGTTTTTCCCCAATAAATAATGCAACGTTACTTTGAAAGGGAAAGGTATGGAAATACAAGTAGCAATACAACTAGTTACGTGGAATATGTGGTATTTTTGTTAGAGAATTATTTTAGGGATAAAACTAATTCATCCGGCAAGATAATGTTTGTACAAGTTATGAAAACATTCCGGAATGTGGTGTCCGTAATCCCACAGATGTGACTGGAGAAATAAAAAAATATACTTTGATGTACGATATTAAGTAAAAACATGACAGCTTATTAATATTTGTATGGGAACCGAAGTAATCAATACACAACTGTTATTTCACTCTTGTTTTTTCAGGTTCTGTGTAAGTTAAAGTTATTGTATCGCAATTATAGAGTGGCATGATGCGAAACAAAGGGTAATGATTTCCTTTTCGTTATTCTCTTTTATTCAAAACTGTAAACTAATTAATAATAGTAACAGGTATAGTATATTCACCGAAAGACTACATAGGCTATTGTGGTTATGGAACAATTCCAAATAATGCTGTTTACAATTGAATAGTAAAACAATCATTACAATGTTTTAGTAATATGTTATGAAAGTACACTAAATGTACGCACGAGACCATCAAACATTACCAAGTCAAATGTGGGCACTAAAATGTTTTTGAGGTCTTCATGAAACGGTTCCCTTTATCGATTATTATACCCAGGGACCTTCTAAAAACTCGTGAAAACATAACCTGTCAAAATCTTCTTTTTCATTTTAACGTGTATTTAAACACAAACAAGAAGTAAACTTTTTCAATATCATCGATTCAAGTCGAACAAAGTTCACAGCACATAAAAATATTCACGTGTAACCGTCGGCGTCGTGCTCACAAACAAAGTAATATCAAGACGTAAGATACTTACCGTCTACTACGAGGATTATCCTCAACTTGACTTAGATATTTTGATGTTTTAGCAACGAAATTGGTTTTTCCCTTCAGCAAAGAAAACCCATTATCGTTGCTGTGGAAGCCGTCTCGTTACCGCGTATCTAATTTGGGATCATCCAGATTCCTCTTTCTTTAGGTGTGAGATTGACAGCAACGTAAGTAGGGATTTGTACAGTATAATGGTTAGTTCAAGGGTGCGTTGACTCGCGCGATAATGGTGTATGTTGGGACCTTTTGAGGCCTGACATTGTAAGGCCGAATCGATTTACGATTGTATTCGCGTCTTTGAAAAACGTTGATCGAATAAAATCTAGGTCGGTTGGATAGAGCTATTTTCTGTGAAATAGATGCTACAATCTGATATAGGTCACGTGTTTTTCTAAGGAAAACACTAAGTGGATGTGGCTGTAAGTCTTGTCTAGAACGTAAGTGAACAAAGAGCACACAACGTTGTGGTGTGCAAAAGCTAAAGAAATAAATTACTTAGAATCGTAGGATAATTGTAAAAAACATTAAATAAAGTGTTAAAATGGGAACGCTCTCGTAAACCGCTTTCCATTTTAAAAAAAGGAGGAGGAGAAAAGTAACAAACCATTACGTCAAACGCCATCAAATTAAGGCATTACGCACACTCGCTTAAATTAAAAATCACACTGGTGTTGAAATAAAATTTGCAAATTGATTACTGGCATCATTCACGAGGCAACAAATGTTTTGTCACACACACGCGTATAGGGGTGCATTGTGTCTGGCAGGCGTAATGATGCATTTGGCGATGCACCCGCCACTCGGGGGTGGGGATGCTTTGTGACGTGTCGCGTACGTTTTTAGGGAGGCGCATTTTGGGAACCCATAATGGGTTAGACATTTAGGTAACATTAGGTTGGGGCGAAAGGAAATTTTGTTGAGAAAATCTTGTGATGAATTCTGTACAAAACATTTTAAAATGTCTTTTTATGCATAAGTGCTCTTTTTAATAGAAAATGAGTGATGATTTTGTTCACAACGATTATATGATCTATTAGAAAAAGAAATCAATTTAAATGTACTTACTTAATCTAATAAAAACCATTTATTTCAATTAGACCAGGAAGGCACTTTTGAACGTCAACAAAAAGTTTAAAAGTGATGCTACTTGCTCAATCCAAGGTGTAGATTCCTATGGAGAAGACTGAGCAAGAAACCCCATAGGTTACTCTCTTTTTCAATCAGGTTTACAATACAATTCTCTAGTTACATTACATAGTAAATAAAAGAACTAAGGAACTTTAAGATAGAATGTTTCATGAAACTACAGCAATATTTTACGATATATAAAGGTAAAACGTACGTATCTAATTACATTGTTATGTTCATTGTGAACAGTAATATTGTTGATGTTACAACTAAAGCTTAAAAACCTAACAACGTTATTACATTTGCTAAAGGATATCGCGACAATCTTCTTACGA